GAATTTTTAATATTTATTTTTTTAGTTCTCGGCGGACACAACATCTTTGTTGGTATGTGGTGCTGAGGATCGAACCCGGGCCGCACGCATGCCAGGCAAGCGCGCTACCGCTTGAGCCACATCCCCAGCCCCAATACCTTTATTTTATTTATTTTTATGTGGTGCTGAGGATCAAACCCAGTGCCTCACACATGCAAGGCAAGTGCTGTACCATTAAGCCACAACCTTAGCCGTTTTACTATTTTTGATACAGGGTCTCATTAGGTTGCTTATAGTCTTACTAAGTTGCTGAGGCTGGCTTCAAATCAGCAATTCTGCCTGAGCCTCCCAAGCCACTGGTTTTACAGACGTGCACCACCACACCCAGCATTAGTCCAATTTCAAACTGTAAACACTAGGGATTACCAGCCAAGCACACCGCAATCTAGACTGAACTGTAGGAGGAGGCAGAGCTCTACCCTAATCCTTGTTACAATATGGAGTACAAGGAGTGTAGATATCTCCAAAGGTGCTGCTAGGAAATCTCTGCTTGAGAGAAGGTGGCTTGGGTGGGACAGAGGCAGTCAACAGAAAGGCAGGGATTGCCCCACCAGAGGCTGAACCTTCAGGAGACATGCCAATGGTGGCTGGATGAAAGGAGGAAATCATGCAGCCACATTGTTTTTGTTATTATCAACCCAGCTTCCATGCTTAAGTGGCTGTGAATTATAGAAGGAAACCCAGGGAGCACTATAAAAAGGACTGAACCAGGTGAAGATCTATAACAGAGAGCCAGCCTCTACAGCTGCTGAGTTGGCTGCACATGTAGGTCTCAAAGAGAAAGACCCCAGAACTACTATTGATCCTTATACAACCATGGCTAGAGGTAATTGCTTACCCCAAATACAGAGCCCGGAGAAAATCAGAGGAGCCCATGTCCCTACCTCCTAAACTCTACTAGCTCTTCTACCCCATGACTGGCTGGAAGATCACTGATGAACCCAGGTAGAGAAAGCAGAGAGGGAAGGAAGGTCCAGAAGTGAGAAAACAGCAGAGACTGAGACTAAGTCTGAGTGTGTGCCGGTTATTCCTGATTGCTTGGACTTTCCAGGTTCCAGACCTCCCTGGTTTTGTATTTTGGGCACTGGGGGTTAAACCTGGAGCACTTTATCATTTTGCTACATCCCCAGTCTTTTTTATTATCGAGATAGGTTCTAAGTTGCTGGGGTTTAGCTAAGGTGCTGACGCTGGTCTCTAACTTCATAATCCTCTTGTCTCAGCCTCTTGATCCTAGGGGATTACAGGCATGTACCACCATACCTGGCTCCTTCTTGCATTCTTACCCTGGAGTTTCAGGATGCATGCAGGAATCCTCACAATAGGTTAAATGTATTTAATTCAAGGAGATGTCTCCTGTTTTTATTTAAAGAGTCCTAAGTAATATTTTTAGCTAAGTCACTGATAAAAGCAAAAGTCTCCAAATTAAACTCAGGTAATGACACCCATATACCTTGCCTAAAGGCAAGGGGGCAGTCTTTATGCAAATCTCAAACTAGTAAGTAGAGGGGGTAGGAAATATTTTTACTTAACTTCTAACACCAAATATGTGGGTACACAATTCTCCAACTCTCTGGACACTAAGTAGTGTCCTAACAATTCAATTCTGGCAGTAACTACCCAGAGTTAGTGTCAGACCCTACAGATCAAGGGCTCAGTTCACAAGACTCCTCCCAGTACAGATGCCAAATCTAAGTCCTAGGCCATTTGTACTTCCAATTGACCAGTTTTAACTCATAGGTTCCCACAACCCACTCCTCGGGTTTGATAATTTGTTAGAATGACTCACAAAACTCACAGGAAGGCATTTTACTTGCTATTATTAGTTTTATTAAGCAGATACAACTCAGGAATAGTCAAATATAAGAGACACACAGGGCAAGGCATGGGAGAAGGGGCACAGAACTGTCATGCTCTCTCCGGGTGCACTCCCTTCCCAGCACCTCAATGTATCTACCAACCTGAAAACTCTCCCAACTCCCTTGTTTAGGGATTTTATGGGAGCTTCATTATGTAGGCACAACTGATTGAATCATTAGCTACTAGTGATTAACTTAATCTCCAGCCCTTCTCCCCTTCCTATAGGTTGGGACTGAGGCTGAAATTATCAGATTTTCACACATTGATCTGATAACCAGCCCCTATCCTTAAGCTATTTAGGGGCCCTCAATCACCAGTCATTCCATTAGCATACAAAAAGGACACTTATTACTCTGGAGATTCCAAGGGTCTTGGATGCCCTAGTATCAGGACAAAGACCAAATACAAGACACTTATCACACTGGAAATTACAAGGGGTTTAGAAGTACTGTGCCAGGAACTCAAGACTCATATACACACACACACACACATACACACACAGATAACTAGATATGTATATAGATATATTTCTTATTGTATCACAATTTCACAGGGGGAGGGGAGTTAGTATGTTTAAATATAACATTTCACTTTCAGAGAACATAGAAACTTCTTAAGGGAACACCATTGTTGGAAATTAAGTGATGCACAAGTTCATTTTTAGATGGTTGTCCCCACTAGGCGTGTAACAGAGCCCCATTGACATTAAAAAACCCCAAACTGATTTTTGTCCCTCCATTCCTGGTAAAAGCTGTTTTAACCTTAGTTTCCTCATGCTGAGAATGGAAACTGAGAAGCTACCCATCAGTCAGGCCAAGTACCAAGGAAACTGGAATTGTAATATATTTCTCTGTCTAGGACAACCTAGTCTTAAGTCTGTGTGTGTGTGTGTGTGTGTGTGTGTGTGTGTGTGTACACGCCCTCATGCATGTATTTCCTGTCTTTGGTCCCACTGTATCCCTTTTTCTCATAAAAGAGTTTTACATCCCTGAGTCCCCCCAAAGATAAAGAGTTGAGGCAGAAAAAGTCTCTATTTTCTTTAGGGCCACCTTTGAATAAACCTGTTTTCTTTCACCAACTTCTGAGCAGCAAGCAGCAGAACCTTCGATTATAGTAACAAGAGTTACTCATGGTCCTTGTCAAAAACCACCTGAGTATGTATTAGGTGCCAGATAACCTGGCAACAATCATCCCTGTACTATAAAGAATGACATATCATTCATCTATCTTCAGTAGTAGTGTAAGTGCTATGGAAGTTTACAATAACATTTGTGTAACAATTCGAGGAGTGGGGGACAATTCTAAGTTTCTGTTGAATGAAGGAACAAATAACTGAAAAATAAAATTTGCTAGTCAGAAATCCATAAATCTCTTGGCCAAAGGACTGGAAAAGATCCATTTATAGACAACCTATAATTTTCTGAGTTTAGGATGATAGGAAGGTGATAAACACTCAGCAGAAACCATACTTGAAGTTTTGATCTTTTCCCAGGCTGGCAATATGCAGTCTGATACTCTCTCTCAATGCTGGACCCTGGCAGCAAGCCGAAGCTCCACTCCATCACAAGGGCCAACAACCAATACTCCACAGGGTACTATATTCAAGAACTCATATGATATATTCAAAAGTGGGCTTTGTATTAGATGATTTTGACCAACTGTTGGCTAATGTAAGTGTTCTGGAGCACATTCAAGTTCAACTAGGCTGTACTATTAAGGGTCAGCAGATTAGGTATGTTCAATGCATTTTTGAATCACAATATTTTCAACTTAAAGGGCTTATTGGAGGCAATCTTATTGTAAGTCAAAGAACATCTATTTTCCCTTCAGTCCTCACTTTCTTCGAATGTTATAATCTGCTGTCCTCCAGACCATACTTAGAAGTCTCTCCTACTTGAAGACTGGCCAGTTGAGAAGCCTCTTGCCCTGAACTTCCTTGCCTGCTATAACCCTCCTAGAAGCCCTACGGCCCTTGCTGTTTAATAATGCTTTGGTGATTAGGTCAAAAATTTTGTATAAGCGTCTTATGTCCAAAATATGTCAAAGAAACCAGTTGTATTCTTACTTTTTGTTATATTCCTACATTTAAAAAAAATTTAGTTATAGATGGACACAATACCTTTATTTTTTTTTTATTGTTTATGTGGTGCTGAGGATTGGACTCAGTGCCTCACACATGCTCTACCACTGAGCTACAGCCCCAACCCATATTCCTACATTTTGACTGCTTTTCTTGGCAGTGATTCCAAGCTCTTTCATATTCCAGAAGCTCCGCCCACAGCTTGGAAAATGAATTTGGTTTTTGCTTTTCTCCTCCTAAATTCTAAGTATTGCACAAATCTTGTGAAGAAATGAAAATAAATAAAAGTCCCCAACATCTTACCAACCATTTAAACTTCTCCCTGATTTGATCACCAGCACTGAAAAAAAAATAAAGTTAAAAGTTAATAAATAGATAAATAAATAATGAATAAACAAAATTCTCCCTGAGCCAAGGGAACTTTTTGGGATGATAGATATTTTCTATATCTTAGTTACAAAACCATATTCATGTGTCAAAACTCACCAAATTATACACAGTAATAGGGTGGCTTTTACTGTATAAAAATGCATCTCAATAAACTTGACCAAAGCCAAAACCCAACCAACATCTCTCTTTACCCTACCTTAGAGATATAATTTTTGTGGTATCAATACAATAGTATACACATCACCTTCTTAATACTGTATTCCCGCTTAATTTTTTAAAAGTACCTTTCCATGGGCTACAATTGTCCTGAAGCAGTGATTCTAAGAAGGGTCAGAGCCTCTGGTCACTAGATGGAAAATATAGCCAAACCAGTGAGATCATAACATTTGCAAAGATCAGCATACTTAAAACACTCCTCAGTGTTTCCACAGTAGTTCATTAGAAAATTCATTTAAAAGTACCACCAATCACAAACTGATTTAATAGGGGAATCTGAAGTAGGTGACTGTATAGTAACTGATCAGGAACGGGGCTCCCTCTAGAGGCCAGAACTGTAACAGCCCTGGCTGGGTTTCTTTCCTTGCCTTACTCCATCCACTCCAGGAGATCACTTCGCTCAGGTACCTCCCCTATATTACATAAACCCAAGTTACTTTCTGTGCCTACATATTTGAGTGGGCACTGAAATTAAACAAAGATATGGACAGGAATAGGAAAGGAACTCAAACAGAAAAATCAAATTCCCTCCTAATCAAGTTTAAAGACTTAATTTTACATTATTACTCTCATCCCTTCAAGTTCTTTCCCTGATTATTTTTTGGTCTATTGCATAGTTACACAGGATCCTTCTAATCGTCACTACCAAGGTAATTAAAAACTTCCAAGGCTCAGATTCTCTCCCCAGTGATCTTTGCCACTGGCCCACCAAATGTCCCTCCCTAAATCCTGACGGCAATCACTGGATACTTTCTCTGACTACTTCCTCCGGTGGGCTTTACAGTTCCCCCTATATTTCTAAGTACGTTGGCCCAACTCACACATTCCTTGAAGCCCAAAATGTTCTGAAAACTCTTTCAACTCCAGTAATCCCAGGGCCAGAGTGATGAAAGAGGCCAAAACTGGACACTATAAATTTCAAGGACAAATACTGCCATTTCCTACCCAGAGGCTAAAAGAGAGTAATCAAACACAGTCCTTAAGTGTGACTACTTAAAATAGAGTTGGGAAAACAATAATGTCTTCCATAAGATCACAAGAGTATAGATAAAGGCATGGCCAGCGATCCAGTAGAAACCCTGATAACTCAAAGTGCAACCGGAATGGAGAACATGAGAAATTCACGGGGAGTGAGACAAGGGATTCAGGCTATGAGAGGATGACTTTTTAGGAGAAGCAAGATCCTGAAAGGAGTGTGCTACTTGGGCAGGTGAAGAGCTGGCCATTTCAGATGAGGGGAGTGGCGAAAGAGGTGCAGAGGATGGCCCTGGCTGGGATGAGGCAGAGCAGGCCCGCTGGGGAGAAGAAGGGGAGAGGCCTGAAGGACCCTGGGGCTCTACCGTGGAAGGCCCTGGATCTTCAGGTTTCTTCCTGGTATGCAACTTTCGATGCTGAAGAAAACTTGCACTCCATTTGAAGGCCTTCCCACATTCCTTACACTCATAAGGCTTCTCCCCAGTGTGGACTCGCTGATGCTGAACCAGAGTGACCTTCTGATTGAAGGCCTTTGAACACTCCTGGCACTTGTAAGGTCTCTCCCCAGTGTGGATTCTCTGATGCACTATGAAGCGAGAGCTGCAAGTAAAAGTTTTCCAACATTCATTGCATTTGTACAGTTTCTCCCCCGTGTGGAACCTCTGGTGCTGCAGGTACACTGACCTGCGGCGGAAGGCCTTGCCACACTCTGTACATTCATAAGGCTTCTCCCCAGTGTGGATTCTCTGGTGCTGGATCAGAACTGAATTAGAACTGAAACCTTTCCCACACTCTTTACATTCATAGGGCTTCTCCCCCGTGTGGACTCGCTCATGGATGATGCAGTCATAGCTACCTCTGAAGGCTTTCCCACATTCCTTACACTTAAAAGGCTTATCCCCAGTGTGGATTCTCTGATGCCGGATCAATTTTGAGTTGTAGCTGAATGTCTTCCCACAGTCCCCACATTCATAGGGCTTCTCTCCACCGTGGAGTTTCTGATGCTGAAGAAGGTGGGAATTTTGACTGAAGGCATGTCCACATTGCTCACATGCATATGGTTTCTCCCCAGTGTGGATTTTCATATGCCGTGACAGTTTTGAGTTGTATCTGAAGGCTTTCCCACATTCTTTGCATTTGAAGGACTTCTCATCAGTGTGAGTTTTCTGATGCTGGTGAGGATCTGAGTCTGGGTTAAAGTATTTGCTGCACTCGTCACACTTTTGAAACACCTGTTTCCTAGGAGGGCCCTGCTTTGAAATAACACTCTTGCTTCCTTGCAGTTTCCTGGCTGTCTCCTTCCTTTTGACAGTGGAAGACTTATGATCCTGAACTGTCAAATCTATGGGATCTCCTTTCTCTGAGTTTGTTTTCTTCCCTATGTCACATGGCTGTGGCTTCTCTAACCTGCTTTGGGGAACCTCCATCGGTAACCCCTCCTCTGTGGGTCCGTGGGACTCTGACTCTGTAGTCATGTTCAGCCTTGGAGTTGGCTCCTCCTCCTCAGACTTGGTCTTACCACCTACCATAACAAAAAGAAAACATAAGAATCCCTTATTATTTATGCTAGAAAAGGAAAGAGATTAAGCCGCATTAGCTTGCCCTGGGGACGTGTATTCTTGGAGAGAGAGACAGACAGACATCCAATGGTGCCCCAAATAGAAAGGAAAAGCCCTGGAGGTGGGGAAGATAGTAATGCCTTAAGGACAACAATAGGGGCTGGGGATGTGGCTCAGCGGTAGCACGTTCGCCTGGAATGCGTGCGGCCCGGGTTCGATCCTCAGCACCACATACCAACAAAGATGTTGTGTCCGCCGAAAACTAAAAATAAATATTAAAAAAATTCTCTCTCTCTCTCTCCTCCCTCACTCTCTCTAAAAAAAAAAAAAAAAAAAAAAAAGGACAACAATAATGGGATGGATGGAAAAGCTATGAATGGAGACAAATGGATAAAGAAATACTAGAATGGGATGTAGAAGACACAGGAAGGGAAAGCAATAAAGAGAAGCAAGGTGCAGAAAGAGACCTCTAAACTGGAAAAAAGAGGTGGGTACGCAGTTCCAGTACCACACAGTATCCAGAGAACTAGAGATGCTGTCTACAGTAGCAGATCTCAAGGTCAGTCAAGGCATGAAATCTGTGCAAGTACTTTGTCTTTGAGTGTATGTGTGGTTCTGGGGATCAAACCCAGGACCTAGCATATGCTAAGAATACACTCTATCACTGAGCTACATCTCCAACCCTCTACCTTTTTTTACTCTTCTTCTTCTTTTGGTGGTGGTGGTGGGGGCGGTACTAGGGATTGAACTCTGGGGCACTTAACCACTTAGCTCCATCCTCAGCCCTTTTTATTTTTTATTTTGAGACAGGGTCTTACTCAGTTGCTTAGGGCCTCACTAAGTTGCTGAGACTAGCCTCAAACTTGTGATCCTCCTGCCTCAGCCTCTTGAGTTGTTGGGGTTACAGGCATGTATCACTGTGTCCAATCCTCTATCATTTTTAATGAGATATTCTTTATCACAAGCCTGAATGGAGAGGAAAAGAAACAATGTGTAACACTACTGGTTATGAAGAATTCATTAGACAATCACTATTTAAAACCCATGTGTCCTCTGGGAGACAGACTTCTGAGAGGAAATAACAGGCTTGGCTAAGAACTTAGTACATGGGGCTGGGGTTGTGGCTCAGCAATAGAGCACTCATCCAACTCACCTCAGCAAGGCCCTGGGTTCCATCCTCAGCACTACATAAGAATAAATAAATAAAATAAAGATATTGTGTCCAATTTCAACTAAAAAATAAATATTAAAAAAAAATGAACTCAGCACAGACAGTAGATAGCAACCTGGCTGGGGTGGAGGCTCACCTTTCACTGCAGGCACTACAACATAGAAGCCATTTTTGCCTTTACAAGCACCAAAATCTAACACAGCTTAGTGTTTTTAGACCCCTGGTCACCAATTCATAGCTCAGATCCTAATCCAGTACAGATATGCTCATATACACACACTTGAAAGAGGGTCAAAAGTTTCACCAAACAACCTCCTTAATAAGAGTGATGCAAATGGATTCCACCCCCAGCACCATCATCAAAAAAAGAAAAAAGAAAAAAAAAAGATTGATGCTTTCACAACAGATTTTATACTATTTTGGTCTATTTTATTTACATATTTTTTGGGGAGGGGGTACTGGGGATTGAACTCAGGGGTGCTTAACCAGAGTCACATCCAAGCCCCCTTTTGTTTTTTCTTCTGAGATAGGGTCTCACTAAGTTGCTCAGGTGCTTAAGATCTTGCCAGAATTCTGAGGCTGTCCTCAAACTTGCACTCATCTAGCCCCAGTATCCTGTATTAGCCTATTCTTTTTTTTTTTTTTTTGGTACCAGGGATTGAACTCAGGAGCACTTTACCACTGAGCCATATCTCCAGCCCCCCCCGCCCCCTTTTTTTTTTTTGACACAGGGTTTGTTAACTTGTTTAGGGCCTTGTTAATTGCTGAGGCTGGCCCTGAACTTGTGGTCCTCCTGCCTCAACCTCCCAAGTTGCTGGGATTACAGGTGGGCACTACCATGCCTGCCCTATTCTAATTTTTAAATGCTGCTTACACTCTTTGATGACCACACAATGGTTCCTATGTTCCCAGGACCTGTAGCACCTGGGAACTTGTGAGAAATGCAAATTCTCAGGCCCTGCCCTAGTCTACTGAATCAGAATCTCTGGAGGTAATGTTAGCAATCCATGTTTTAACAAGCCCTCCAAGTAAACCTAACGCACACCAGAATTCGAAACCTACTGATATAGTTACTAAAAAAAGCACACTGAAACTTTTAAGAGTTTAATATTGTATTGTCCAGTAGGGTGGCCATAGTCCCTTAAATGGCTATTTAAATTTAATTTAAGTGGAATAAAATTGAAAACTGTTCCTCAGTTATACTAGCCACACTTCAAGTGTTCATGGAGCTAACAGCTCTCATATTGGACAGTATAGGTATATAATATTTCCATTGTTCTACTGGACAATGCTGGTGAAAGCTTTTGGTGGCTATGGAAAAGGGGAACACTGATGACCATGGGAAGGCTGCCAGGAAAGGTTCTCTCTCAAGATGACCCCAAGGCGACTCATGTGTTAAGACAGAAGTAGGGGAATGGAAAGCAGCACTCGGGGTACAAAGGCTCAGAAAGGCACAAAGGATTGAGAGTATATGAACAAGGCAATTGAATTAGACAGATATCCACTAAATCTCTGGATGAGTCTTTATATCTATTCAATTCAACATATTTCAAAAAAGGAAACCATTCATTCCATATATAAATATATTTTTTTTCATACACAAGAGTTCTTTCAAAGGCTATTTATTATTAAATGAGAAAATCAGAAGACTCCATCTTCATGTACAGTTTCACATAAATATACACACAAAGAGTTCTTATAAAAACTCAGTTCTGGGGCTCGGAATGTAGCTCAGTGGTATAACACATGCCTAGCATATACAAGGCCCTGAGTTTAATCCCCAATACAGGAAAAAATAAATAAAACAAACAAATAAATGAAAACGAAGTTCTTAACTATATCATATTTATGTTCCTAAACTGATGAACAGAAGAAGCCTATTTCACTAACAGAGTTTGAAATGTGGAGAATAAGAGACTGAACGAATTATGTTATGTACATATTTAAATATAGCAAAATGAATCCCACTATTATGTATAATTATGATGCACTAATTAAAAAAAATAAAAATAAACCAGGCATGGTGGCACACATCTATAATTCCAGTGACTAAGAAGACTGAGGCAGGAGGATTCCAAGTTCAGGGCCAACCTCAGCAACTTAGTAAGACACTGTCTCAAAAGTAAAAGTAACTAGGTATAGTGGCACATATGTGTGATTCCAATGACTCAGGAGGCTGAGATAGGAGGATCACAAGTTCAGCACCTTGGCAAGGCCCTCAGAAACTTGGTGAGACTCTGACTCAAAATAAAAAATGAATAGGGATGGGGATGTAGCCCAGCGGTAAAATATCTAAGGATACAATTCCCAGTACTGGAAAACAAAATTAAAATTAAATAAATACTAGTTTTAAAATGTTTGCTGGGCTGGGGGTTATAGCTCAGTTGGTAGAGTGCTTGCCTCACAAGCACAAGGCCCTGGGTTCAATCCCCAGCACCACAAAAAAAATTTTTAAAAAATAAAATGTTGCAATCCTTTCACTTTCTGAAGAAAAATAAGAGACAATGGAACATCTGGACTGCTGTCTTCTAGTTTGGAGCTGAAGCATGACTATTTTCATCCCGCAACAGCCATGGTTCCTAAGAAATATCTTTTTCATCTCACGTTAAAATATTAAAAGAGAAGTAGCTGGGTGCAGTGGCACATATCTATATTCCCCAATACTCAGTAGGATAGGGCAGGAAAATCCCAAGTTTGAGGCCAGCCTGGGCAGCTTAGGGAGACGCTGTCTCAAAGTTGAAAAATAAAAAGGGTTAGGGATACAATTCACCGGGTTCAATCCCAACTACTGCAAAAACAAAGAGAGAAAGAGAAACAGACAGACACACAAAAGTCAAAGCTGGAAAAGAAGATGGTCTGTTCTCCTGCTCACCTGTGCACCTGCCTCCAAGGGCCTCTTCCCCAACAGGTCTCCATGAATCTGAGACCCATGGGGCTTCCCCTCGCTCCAGCTGGAATATCAGATCTGGTTTAGGGAATGGTAATGCTTCTAAAGGAGAAAGAAAAGGAACAGGAAGCTGAGAGAGTCACCACCAACCTCCCTCAGTCTACCCTCTGCTTTGCCAGGTGAACAAAGAGGCAGATGCCCAGGAGACCAAGTGAGGTTCATGAGGAGAGAATCTGGGGATCTAAGGAAAGGCTCAAAGCTTATTCTAGCCTCTGAGAGCACAGGAAGTACCCACAGTCACTGGAAGTGTATACCTGGGGTCCTAGGAGACTCACACACAGTAGATGGGCCGGGGTCTCCTCCAGGGAACGGGAAGACTGGAGGAATGAAGGTGGGGCACCAGGAACCTTCTCAGTTCTCTCTGCTCCCAGAGCAAACCCCTCACAGTACAGTCCCCACCAGGAACCAGCCAACAGGGAAGTCCTGTTAAAAACCAAAGTGAATCCAGATCTTTCTCCATTCAGCTACTCCTGAAACTGGGAATTAGGGAGCTCAGCTCATGGGTCATTAATCCTGGTGATATTAAAGATCCCAGATCTGCTAAGGGAGAATCTAGGAGCCCCAAAGACAGAAGCTAAGTTTCAGAGGAAGAGGACTTACCCAAAGAAGTTATGTTTGCATAATTTTCCAACATCACCTCCTGGTACAGAGCCTTCTGCGCAGGCTCCAGACTGTCCCACTGATTCTGGGTGAAGTACACAGCCACATCCTCAAAGGTCACTGCCTCCTAAAACAACAGGTTCCTGCTCAAGTCCTGTATAAGCGCAGAAGGAGGCAGGGAAGGGGTGAATCTACTGCAACCCATAGTTCTGAGCCCCTTGAAAGGTTTACAATGATGAGAAACACACAGCACTCTAAGCAGGGGCAGCCCTCAGGCAGAATTCCCACTTTTCATATATACTTCTCTGTGGGCCCAATATTGTCAGCCTAAGCACACAGCCCAGCACCTGCTCTTCTCTCCCTGGTGATCACGTCAACCCATCTCTGCTTCTATAAGCCAAATATATTTTTCTGGCATTTTTCCTAAATTGACCACAGCAGGCATCTGTCTTTCACCCTGTGTTCATTCATCTTGAAGCACCCATCAGGGATCTTGACTCAGCTCCTCTTGTCTTCTTCCTCCACAGCTTCTACTAAGGACAGAGAAGTGAGTTCATGGGGATAGAGTTCCTTTCATTCAACTCTTTCTCCCTCTTTCTACCATCTTGCCTTACCAGAAAGCTGGTTCTCCCTTGAAGACAACATTCAGTGTCTCCTCCTCTCCTAACATACTTGACCCCAGGGACAGGAAGGCCATGTCCCAAACCTTGTTCACAGATCAGCCCCTGATCACCTAAGCTCTGTCCAACCTACCGTCCTCTTCACCAGATCTATCTCCCTTTGCCTCTGCAAAGCCACCTACAACTTCTTAAGGAAGAAGGAAACCATCACAGGGTTAGGGTTCAGTGTCAGTTATTTTTTTACCTCAATCTGTTCAACATACAATAATTTATGAAGCAAGAATTATTATTCCCAAGGGAATCAGCAATATTAAACACTTTGAGATAGACGAAAGGGAGTCCTCTTCATCTGAGTGCTTATTACAAGGCTATATAAGAAAATAAAAATTTTAAAATGAACTGACCACTTACATGTAAATTATCCACTACACCATTCCAGTTCATCATCATGAATGACCTTCTCTTCACTGTGCATAGTGGTGCACGCCTGCAATCCCAACGACTCAAGGGCTGAGGCAGGAGGATCACAAGTTTGAGACCAGCTCGGCAACTTAGTAAGGCCCTAAGCAACTTAGTGAGACCCTGTCTCAAAATAAAGAATAATAAGGGCTGGGGATGTGGGTCAGTGGTAAAATACCCCTGAGTTAAATCCCTAGTACCAAAAAAAAAAAAAAAAAAAATGAGAAGCTACCTTTTATTTGTGTAGTAGTCTCTTCCAAGTAAAAGAAATACAACTGGAGAAGTACTAGATTTGTAGTCCTTGTTGTGAAAATTAGTCCTGACAAAAAACATCAATGATGCTGAATCTCAGGGGAAAGTTCAACAAAGAGTAGGATATTGGCATGATCTTAAATACCTCCCCATAAACTCCTTGTTGCAAGGGAAAAATCATAACTATATGTGAAGAAATCTATAGTCTCTTGAACATAAAAATGTAAATATAACTAGTATGAATAAGAAACTGAACTTTTAGTTTTAATTGACTTTAATTTTAAATAGGCAGAGGAAGCTAGGGGCAACCTTATTGTTCAGGGCAGAATAGACACTTCACCAACCCCAAATGTTAATAATATGTCTAATCTTCTTCAGGCAAAAGCTGGAAGCAGCCAAGTACATTGACACTCACCTATAATCCCAGAGGCTAGGGAACTGAGGCAGGAGAATTGCAAATTCAAGACCAGCCTCAGCAACTTTGTGAGACCCTGTCTCAAAATAAGAAATAAAAAGATCTAGAGATGTAGCTCAGTGATAAAGTCCCCTGGGTTAAATCTCCAGTACAAAAAAAAAAAAAAAGGAGAGAGAGAGAGAGAGAAAAGAGCTGGAAACATAGACCTTACCTTCTTTCCCCCACATTATGCTCTACCCCTCCACACCTCTGTAATTATCCATGCACTCTTTGGTTTCTTGTTTTCTGCAACACTAAGCTTCTCAACATCTTGCTGCCTGAAGTACATCTGTGATCACACTGCTTCTGTTCTCTGCCAGCACTTACTACCTCCTTTATGTAGTGGAACTGTGATTCCCGTGTGTGAGAAACAGGTTACAGAAGCAGCACAGTGTAGTAGCAAACAGCAGACTTGAGAGCCTTGTCTCAACACGGGGACAATTTTGCCCTCCTCCCCCAGGAGAAAGGTGACAATGCCTGGATATATTTTTAGTCATCACAGCTGCAGCATGATGGTGGTGGTGGTGCTACTGGCACCTAGTGGACAGTGGCCAAGGATGCTGCTGAATTATGCATAGGGAATCTCCCCAAACAAATAATTATCTGTAGATAAAATGTAAATAGAGCCAAGGTTGAAAAATCCCTGCTAGACACCTGAGGCTCAAATCCCATGCCTGATACTGGATAGAATACTAAACCTCTCTGTGCTTCAGCTCCATCATTTTAAAACTAGAATACCAATAGTATCTATTTTATAGGGATTTTGTAGGATAGAATGAGTTAACATAGATAAGCACTAAAAATTCACCTGGCACACAATGTCATATAAATCTCAATACTTACTACAACCATATATAAAACTGAGGAAAGCTTCTAGAAGATTCCAGAATCTTCTAGAAAAATATTCCTCACAGAGACTTTAGCAGAGACTAACAGGTATATTGATATGCATGTACTCCCTTTCTTCTTTAGTAATAGAACCCTGATTTTACCTGAGATTGCATCCAACCCAGGCAACTAAGTGAGATCAATGAAACCCAAATGTAAATACTATCAGAGACTTCTTGGAAGGTCCTAGAAGGATGCAAACTCAGCTGAAAGGTTCACCTCTTTTGTTATCTCTACATCTAGCTAGAATACCCACATAATTGCCTGAGACCAAGCAGCAACTCTGGACCATAAGGTGGCCTACAGCATGAGAACCAGTGCTAGGATAGTAGTGCAGAATGAAAGAGCCTGTGTGCATAACTGTGTAGTTACCCTGGACTGACTCTCCCAAACTTGTTTTCCATAGAAGAGAAGGTTTTATTTTGTTTAAGCCATTGTTGCTCTGAGTTTTCTTAGTGGAAACTAATCCTGAGAAAATAGGCAAGCAAGGTGCCAAGAAAGAACAGACTGCCCCTACAAATGTTTTCCTGACTTGCAAGAACTAATTTTGGTTGAAGGGCTCAAACAGATTTGGATGGACCAATGTTCACAAATGAAGCCACCATTGCTTGCTTTTAAGTCTCTGGGTATGGAGTTTTCTTATTACATGATCTATCCATTACATGATATACATAGCTTTCTAAGCATATGACACAGGACAATGGAAAAAAAAATCAATCAACTCATCCTCTACCATCAAGATTGGGGGAGGGGACAACTGCTCCCTATGCTACCTGAATCTGTGCCAACAAGGGCTATAGGCTCTCACAGAGGTTAAGCTGACATCTTTGCACTGAGCTGCTTCAGTTACAAATTCAGCATTCCCCCAGAGCACAGTACCCACAAGAACCAAACCTTCCAAATTAGACATTTGGTATCATTATATCCTACGCAGGCAGCATGTATTTCTCCTTGAGGAAGTACATGTCCTTTGGGTATTGTGATGAAGACTAGCATTCCTCACATTTTAACCAGCCCCTAAGTTCTCCAGATGTTGTGAAACATGGTTTCTAATTCAGGAGAACTGGCCTGAAATCCAGCCTTTCCCAACAAGCTTCCTGGTGATGTCAAAACTCTCATCCATGGACCACACTTTGAGTTTTCACACAAGTAGATTTTACTTTCTAGGAGAATTTCTTGGCTGGGCTTTCTTCTTTCCCAGCCAACATATTCTCTAATCAACTCCCTAGCATACTCCTTTGCCACACTCTGAGGGAGGCAATGCTAAGCACAGGACTGATCAAATGGGCCTTCCCTGACCTTTCCTGCCTCTGAGTATGCTAAAAGAAAGCTCAGCTCACCTGGGACCACACTGTCTGGAGCATGGTGGATAACCCCTGGCTTCATGCACTGCCCTCTAGTCTTGGAAAACCTGCAGAGCTAGAGGAAAAAAAAAATATATATATTGAGAATGAGCTGTCTTATTTCCCACACTTGCTCTGTCTCCTAACGGAACCAGATATCCTTAGGACACTGTTCTCCACCATCCTCTCCACCGATTCCTGAAGTGCTGCAAATGCCCCCCTTTATACATTCTCTAACAAATGTGTCTGGCGATACTGGAAATTCCTAAAATGAATGTCTGTGCAGCAAGGGTTAAGAACTGCAGCAGGTAACAACGAATCCCACCATTATGCATAATTATGTTGCTCCAATAAAAAAAAATATGGAGAAACAAAAAAGAACTGCAGTGGTTTCGTGGCTTTTAAGAAAGCCCGTGGCTCCACCATGAATGCATTGCTGAGTATTTTGTAAGAAACACCTGTAGGAATCACGGCAAAGACTCGAAACGAGCCTTTGGAGAGAAGGGATCCCTGAATCAACAACGGTTTCCAGCGCAAAATTCAAGTGGCGATCTAACCTCAGGTGAAATGGGTAAGACGCTCACCGTCCCACTGGAGATGGTGACCACAGACCCAACCGCAATCAGAACGTTCCACCCGGGAGGCAGGGGACCCAGATGTTGGTCGCGGGCGCCCACCCAGCGTACCTCGAGCCAGAGGACAAGCTCTCGGGGCAGGAAGGTCAGTCGTGCCTCGACAACAGGGGCTGGCCAGGGTTTGGGCGGCCTCATGGGCCTCTCGCGGGGCGTCTGCGAGACCCAAACACGCAACCTTCAGGACCGTCACCAGGTTGCGCAACCAGAGCCGCTCACCGCAAGCTCCCGCAGAGCGCCGAATCCGCCAAGACGGAAGCACGACCCGCGGCGGCCGCTCTAGGAAGATGGAGGCCGCCCTCTCTCCATGGTTCGCCCAAGCGAGGCTCCAGGCCCTGTGCTCAAGACTGTTTCTCATCAGTCATGTGTCCGACTTTCCATCAATCATGCCTTAGCATCCCCATGATGATAAATTCCTCCATGAATAAAAATAAACGCCTCTGGCTCTAGAGCTTGCTAGCAGTAACTTACCTAATGAATTGACAGCCCCTGTCTCCCACTTCATGGCTGATTGACCTGTGTGACCTAATATCGTGGAGTTTGGGGTCTGACTGCGGTGAAACCCTAACTCCACTGTTTATGAACAGAATGGACTTGCTCAAGCTACTTCTCAACTTGGAATGGTAATAGTTTCAAATTCATAAATTCAGCAGATTAACTGAGTTCACTCATCCAACACACTTAAGACTCTGTTAATTAACAAACTAAATCAAAACAAGTGCTATTTTGTTTTTGACATCATTATTACTCCTGAGTATCAGTGTCACTGTCCTGTAAAACATTCCCGATACTTTTCCAGCCTAGATATAACTTTGATCATGGAGCTGGTGCCTATTGGGCAGGCACTATGAAGTTAGTTCTGAGCTAGAGATCTGTGTCTACTGGCCCACCGTTTATTTCTACTTACCTAACCCACAGGGGCCTAAACGTCAACACTAAGATCATCATCTTTTCTCAACTTTTGCAGGGAGTGTCATGCATCCTACCAGCCAAGTTAGTGGTCTGGGAATTATGATTGGCTCCTTCCTCTACTCTTCTCTCACCTAGATTACTGAGACAGCCTCCTTCCTCCCTTTTCATGGTCTCCAGCCTAGCCCCCTCCAACCTTTCCTTCCCATATTGCAACCAGGGTGATTTTAGATGCATGACACTTCTGCCTTTTAAAATCCTTCTGAAGTATATTCGTTTCAAGTATTCTTACTAAGCCTTTTGGACTCAAGAAAATCATCATTCAAGTCTTTTCTGATGTCAGTGCACTGCTGATGTTGCACCTTTACTTTCTCTCCGTGGTCTGAGAGCTCCTTTAGGGGAACACCTGCTTCATGTGAAAAGTAAATGAGATATTGGTCTAAAATGGCTGAGGCAGAGTTCCTGACTCTGCATTTTCTTTTTTTTTTTCTTTTGTGGCTTTTCTTTTTTAATTTTTACTTTTTTTTAGTCATACATGACAGCAGAATATATTTTGACATATAATACATACATGGAATGTACATACATCAATCATATTGTCTACTCTGCTGCCCTTCCTATACCCCCTATTCCTCCCCTCCTTTCTCTCTACCCAATCTAATGTGACACTTTTTTTTCTTTTTCTCATTACAACATCATAAATGTATTCTGTATAACAATGAGGTTCTCCTTCCATCTTCTGTGCAACTCCCCTTCTCCCTCTTTTTCCCTCCCACCTCTCTTCCCTATTTAGTGGTAGTCTTCTTCTCATGCTCTTCCTCCCTATCCCATTTTGAGTCACCCCCCTTATATCAGAGAAGACATTCGGCATTTGTTTTTTAGGGATTGGCTAACTTCACTTAGCATAACCTGCTCTAATGCCATCCATTCCCCTGCAAATGCCATGATCTTGTTATTTTTTAATGCTGAGTAATATTCCATTGTGTATAAATGCCACATTTTAAAAATCTATTCATCTATTGAAGGGCATCTAGGTTGGTTCCCACATTCTAGCTATTGTGAATTGTGCTGCTACAAACATTGATGTAGCTGTGTCCCTGCAGTATGCTCTTTTTTGACTCTGCATTTTCTAATAATGCCTAAGCCAGAGTGAAAGTAAGGAAGGGTGATGTTAGATTTTCTTCAAAGCTTGACTAAATAATTATTAATAAAATGAAAGTAAATATGACAATATGAATAATTGGAAAAAATAATAGAATTCAAGGAAAACATTAAAAGAGGGAGATAGTGACACTGATAAACAGTCTAATCTACAAAAAGTTCTAGTGATAACTAACTCAATGTATCTAACATCACTTTTTTTTTCCTTTTTTGTACCAGAAATTGAACTCAAGAGCACTCAACCACCACTGAGCCACATCCCTAGCCCTATTTTGTATTTTATTTAGACACAGGGTCTCACTGAGTTGCTTAGCCTCACTATTGCTAAGGCAGGCTTTCAACTCCTCCTGCCTCAGTCTCCCGAGCTACTGGGATTACAGGCATGTGCCACCACGCCTGGCAACATCACATTTTAATATATGTAAAGCAAAAAACTATTTGAAATATAAGAAACTGATAAATCTATATTTGTACAGAGATTTCTAACACAATTCTTTAAAATTAAATAGGAAAAAATGTAATACAAAGAATTTAAATAATAAGGATAACTATTTGAATAACTATTAACAGAAATTACTATAAACATCATTATACATTTTGTTGTTGTGTTTGGTGGTACTGGGGATTGAACCCAGGGTTTTATATATGCTGGGTAAGCACTTTACCATTGAGCTACATCCCCAACCCATTACACACATTCTCTTTAAACTTAAGTATGCCATGTAGGCAACTAAGAAAATTTCAAATTTCAAGAAACAAATGTTGCTGGGCATGGTGGCACATGCCTATAATCCCAAGGGCTTGGAAGAGGTGAGGCAGGAAGATGGCACATGCTAGAAACTTCTTAGTTTCTAGTTTGTGGATTACAGATCATGAACTTCTTGGCCTCTGTATCACAAGTCAATACCTTTAAATTTTTCATACCTCATCACATTGGTTGTTTCTCTGAAGGTTTAATAGATGCCAACCAGATGATTACTATAATGCATTTTTTTAAAGAAACAAATTACAGAATATATGCAGCATAAACATTGCTTAAAATGAGGAATCATGTGACTAAGTTTTGTACACATATGAGAAATGCATAGAAAAATATCTGCAAGGATGTACATAATGGTTTCCTTTACAAAGTTCTGGAATTGGAGACCAAGGGGTCCTTTACTTTAAAATGTTTTATTAAGGTGTCAATATATTTATGACTGGATTTAAAAATTCAGGTATGCTAGGCATGGTGGCACATGCCTTTAATTCCCAGTAGCTTGGAAGGCTGAGGAGGATTTCGAATTCAAAGCCAGCCTCAGCAATTTAGTGAGGCCCTAAGCAACTTATTTGAGACCCTGTCTCGGAATAAAATATGTAGAGGGTCTGGGGTTGTAGCTTAGATGGTAGAGCGTTTGCCTTGTGTGTGTGACGTGTCAGGTTCAATCCTCAGCACTACATAAATACAAATAAAGGTATTATGTCTGTCTACTACTAAAAAAATATTTTAAAAAAATATATAAAGGGGCTGGGGATGTGGCTTAGTGGTTAAGCTCCCGTGGATTCAATCTCCAGTACCAAAATTAATTAAATTCAGCTTCTTGGTAGATTTAAGTGTAGCCTTTAGATACTAAACAGTATTTCACCCAACAAATAAGAGGAAAAATACCATGAATTAGAGGACATGCCGACTATCTGAATATCTGAGGCAACTGAAGCAGAGGCTCCTTGAAAATCCAACTATCCAAATTTTGTCCATAAAGCTACTTTAGAGCTACACAATTCAACCTGTTATTGAGTATCCTTTATGTGAAGACCGATATTAAGGATGCACTATACTTATTTTCACAAGCATTTCATATAATACTTACCACAATATAAGGGAAGTATTGGGTCCCCTGATTTTTAGATGAGTTTCATAGATAGTACAGTCCCCACTCAGTAATACCAAGATTTAAATCTGAATAGTACTTTTTTTTTTTTTTGGCAATACTGGGAACTGAACCCAGGGGTGTTCTACCGACTTTTATCACTAGTCCTTGTATTTTAAAGTTTGAGATAGGGGTTCACTAAATTATCCAGGCAGGCCTGGATCTTGGGTTATTTCCTGAATAGCCAGGATTACAGGGTTGTGCCATCCCACTCAGCTTCAGTATTTTCTTCAAGCCACCTTCCCTTCATCATGTTTTCCTCAACCTACCTCCCATTTCCAATTCAATCTAGATTACACTGTTATGCTAATCTTCCTAAAGATATATCATTTGCCACCAAATCTATTATTTGGTCCAACTCTTATTTAGTCCTTTTCAGGTGTCCTATGTCCTTTGGATTTGTATTTCCAATTGTTCCCTAAAACATTCTCATCCTGACAACCTCATAGGCTGGACCCAAAATGCTGCATAGAAGTTCTCTCCCACTTCCTCCACATGCAATTACTAACTTCTGCCCTGCAAATGTATATTCTCATCCCCCTTAGACTTTTTGAGATTATCTAAACCTTTCTAAAATCCTCATGCAAAAGACATCTTTCCCCTAAAGCTAATGCCAGATTCACCATTCCATACTTTGGGCACTGAGCTTCTTTCATTAGCTCCTTTTCCTGATGCACCCAAAGACTTAGCAAAACGAATTTCAATTTCCCTGTTTCTCTTACTCTCCCGCTCTGGCAAACTCAACCATCCCAGGTTTCTTTCTATGTCAACCTGCTAGATTCTGATCTCTAAATTTTCAATTGTTAATTCATGAACCCCACCTAACCTAACCAGCACTACCTTATCTCTAATAAGCCTCTCAATAGGCTATACAACTATTATCTACTAACCACTCCAAAGCATAGGAAACAGGCTTTGGGGATTAGGGGTTTGCCCAAGTTACACAGCTTTAAGAATCAGGGGGATTACCTGAGCCCAGGAGGCCAAGACTAGCCAAGGCAAAATAGACCCTATCTCCAAAAAAGGGGGACCGAGCTAGAATCATTATCAAAATTTGGGGGAGAGGGTATGAAAAGACATCAATTACTATTTTTTAAAGAAAATTTTAGTCTCTTGTACATCAGGAGGCTGAAACTCTACCCGTGTGGGAAATTTTTTTTGCATAAGGAAATAAAGTCACTTTCTAATTATGATTTGTAATGAGATCAGTTAGTTATGGTTGTGTATAACCAAGCCTGGGCAGTTTAAGGAACTGAGCCTGATGTTTATCAATCTGCCTCCTAACCCTGCCTCAGCAACAAGTTTAAAATCCAAGGACTTAACAGATTTGCCAACATGTCAAAAGAATCTTTATTCCTTTTTTAATAGCCTCTTATGCTTTCTTGCCAGATGTCTTCGGAGCAGGTGCTTTCTGGGCTGGAGCTTTCTGACTCTTCTGAGCTTTTGGAGGCGGCGCTGCCTTCTGGCCTGGGGCTTTCTGGGCAGGAGCCTTTTGGGCTGGAGCCTTCTTGCCTGCTGGAGTTACCTTTTTTGCTGGAACTTTAGCTTTAGCAGCAGCAGCAGCAGCTGCTGCAGCTGCAATTGCAGCCTTAGCAACAGGTGCCTTTTTGGGAGAAGCTTTCAGGATAGCGGCCCTCTGAAGCTTCTTAACTTCATTCTTGATTATTCTGTTCCTCTGAAAAGTATCAACATAAGAAAAACATTTATTACATATGCATACATAAAACTGACATATGCTAGTTTTTAGAAAGGGCATTAAGGGGCCCATTTTCCACAACTAAATCCAAATAAAGAGAATAATTTCTTAAGGATACCATGAAATAAAGCAAATAAGGACAACCTCTTTTCACAGTAAGCTCCAAAGAGGCAGCAGCCCGAAATGGAAATTGGTTACTGTTTTCTTATCCAGAAGCAAACTTACAGGAAAAAGATTTTGAAAACTTACCATTTTCTTTGCCTTCATTACTTTATAACGATCAAAATCAGTCATCTTGGCTTTCTATTAAAAAAAAAAAAAAGAAAAGAAAAACTATCTTACTTCAAATCCTTCAAAAGAGACAAAGTCAGAATTCAAAGGACCCAAAGTCATTACCCTTTCTCTGGCTTCAATCTTCTTGGCCCATCTTGTGGCTGCCCATTTTGTATTGATATCTGCCTTCTGCCAGGCTTGCCGAACATACTTCTGACGGGCACTACAAAGAGGCAAAACCACAGATTAACTAATTGGCCTTCTCTGGCACTGTAGATCGAACACAGGACCTTGCACAGATGAAAGCACTGAGTCACATCCTAAGGCCCTCTTTGTTTTGAGACATAGTTTCATTAAACTGCCCTGACTGGCTTTGAATTTGTAGTACTCTTGCCTCAGCCTCCCTTGTAGCTGGGATTAAAGGTATGTGCCAGTGTATCCAGCAAGTAATAAAGTTTTTAGGTCACAAAACTTTTTCCTTTAGGAAGGATTCCATTACACTTTCCACTATAGTCTTACTTGGCATACATACCATCCGGCACAACAATGTGTTTTACCTACTGAATGGTGTTCACACAGCCAAGACATAAACTGAAGTATAATTTTATCAAAACCGTAATCTGATCCATTTTACTAGACTTAAAAAATCACCACTGATGACATGTCACTTAAAGTAGTGGACATGCAGAAATCAATTTCCTGTTTTTACTTCATACAACAACTTGTGGCCAAAAATAAACCCAGTATGTATCACTCAGAGATCAAAGAATTGCAAGAGTACCCAAAGAAAACCCAAGTCATCAGAAACTCCTCTATTGTTGTGATCCTCCATGAGCATCTTCAAGATTCACCCTTAACTGTTCTTCAAATAATGTAATAATGTGTAAACACAGTAGCAACAGAATGGACATACTCATTCCAGGGTGTATGAATGGTAAGTTTAAAGAAAAAACAGTACTCAAACATCCTAAATGCACACGCCCAGCTAAAGGTATCCAACATATGACAGTTTCTGTCCTATTAGGGTTTTTGTTTCCAGGTAGTGGTGGCAGATGTTAAGAGATGACACAAATATAGAATATGAATATTTTCTGGAACACTATACAGGTATCCAAAATTAACAACTTAAACCCCCAAAGCTAAATACTTAGTAAACAACACATTAAAAATTCAACTAATGATAACAGTACTGAAAGAGACAAGAGTGACACACTGTTGTTTTAAGGCTAAAAGTGATTGTGACACCAGAAGAAAAGAGAAGGTCATTTTAAAAGTAAATAATGCCTATTTACTTCATAATATAAATCTTTCTTCTGGAACAGTTTAAATCTTCTGTATTATTTATTGTATTCTCAAGAGAAAGACAATAAAAGTGGCAAGGTTTTCAAAATTAAACAAACTTTACTAGTATAAACAAAGCTAAGGAGAGGGGATTGTGATGATTGGTGGATAGTTACCTGTGAGGAAACTTGAGGATGAAATCAGTGAGCTGCATACATTTGAAAGGCATGGCCTGTCTCCTTACCTGAGTGCAAGGTCCATCAACCAAAGCCTAAAATACAAAGATCAGGGATTTCAGTGTAAAACATGACAGCAATTTAAATGAATAAATATTCTGTATAATTACTTGTCTTTTCAGATCCATCCAACCCACATATTATTAAAACACTAACAACAGTGCAAAGTGCTTTCTGTGTGCCTGAGTATGTTCTGCACTCATTTTACACATAATAACTTCAACACAGCCAGTGTTTTGTTCTAGAATTGGCCAAAAGCACGTTTAAATGGCTGAGGCAATACTCTAACACAGACAGTTAACTCAAGTCTGCACTTGAAACCCCTACCCACACTGAATGGTAAAATAACACTGCCACCCAAAGAGCTCCCAACAGGTCACTTAATTACAGTATCATCTAAAGTGGGTACCATTCACTGCCACGTTAAGTCAAAATTAGGATGCTTTTTCTTATACATACCCTGTTCTGATCAATAACATCTACAATTGCAACCAGCTTTCCAGCATGAGGCCCAAAGGAGACGTAGGCCACCCGGCCAACCTCCACAAAACGCCTGAAAACCTGAAAGCGCAGAGAGAGAAAACACAGTTAATATTTTAAGGTTTGCTATAAGGTCCCCCAGCCTATAGGCAACATGGCTAATGCAGAGAACGACTAAATGGAACACGCCCAAGTGCCTGGAGAGGACCTGGATGAACGAAATCCGCAGGGGTGGCGCTGGGGGAAAGCCGGCTTCCAGGCCCAAAGGCCCTGCACGCCCCAGAACGAAAGCACCCAGTCCAACTCGGCCCCAGAGGCTGGGGAAGCTACGACGGTCTCAGCCATGCTGCTTTGGGTGGCGGCACGCACGCGTGGCCCATGGCGCGCCGGGGTGCCGGGCCCTCAGCGCGATCGCCGGCCCCGCGCCCAGAACTGGCGGAATTCCGCGCAGAGACCGCCCAGGGACCCTCAATAAGCGTTTCCCAGGACTCTCTGGGTTCCATTCCAGGGCTCAAAATTCCCTCCGAGGAAAAAGTCAAGAGGCATGGCCCCAGTCACGGAGCCATCAGCAGTAAGACTCACCATGTTGGCGGCGTAGGGCGAGAAAGAAGGCCCGTTCGATCTTGCGCATGTGTAGAAGAGAGCCCGCCCCTGACGTAAAGAGACGCCGACGTGAGTACCGACTGATTGGGACCTGCGTGCGTGCGCATGCTCGCTGGAAAACAAGGTTTCTCCGGCTAATTGCCTGCTGATTTTTCGCGGGCCTGTGGGATGAAGTTGAATTGGGTGGTTTGAATGGGCGAATCGCGGGAAAGTTATCCTTTCTTAGACCTTCAGGGTAAAGAAGAATACTAAGGCTATGTTTTCCATCAAAACTGTTCTCGTCCCATTTTTAAAAACATCTTCTTCCAGTGTTCACTACTCTCGGATTTTTGTCTAAACTTTGATGTTACTCATAGTTTAGTACTAGGGCTTTATTTTCTCATATTCTCTCCGTAAGTGATCACAGTAGTTTTGTTAACTTTTTATTTTAAAATAGTTTAGTAGAAATGCTACCAAACTAGAAGTAATCTCCATAAACCTTTCTACATTGCTAGATTCCCCAAAGGGTACTATTTTAGGTTTGCTTTCTCATTCTATCACTTTATTCTGGACCGTTTTGAGAGGGAATTGCAGACATGATATTCCTTTCTCGCTACACTCTTAAATCCATTTCCTAACAACAGAGACACTCTCTTACATTGTAAGTACAATTTTCAAAATCGGGAAACTAATTAGTACACAACCCTTATTCACATATTTTCAGGAGTCCCACTTAAATCCTTTTGAGCAAATGGGGAAAGAAAGAAAGAAAAAAAAAAAACCTGGTCCCTATATAATTGAGGGATTACAAGTTGTATTTAGTTGACACATGGTGCATGCCTGTAATCCCAGAGGTTCTGGAGGCTGGGTCAAGAGGATTGCAAATTCAAAGCCCGACTCAGCAAGTTAGGTGAGAAGCAGTTTAGTGAGATCCTGTCTCAAAAAATAAGAAGGGCTGAGGATGTGGCTCAGGGGTTAAGCTCCGATGGCTTCAATCTCTGGTCTCCCAAGTAAACAAATAACATCTATAACCACCCATGACTGTGGCACCCAAATCAGGAGGTCTGCAAGTTTAAGGCCAGCCTGATCAATTTAGAGAGACCCTGTCTCAAATTGAGGATGTAGCTCAGTGTTAAAGCACCTGTGGGTTCAAATTGCCAGTACCAAATTAATAAAATTTATAACAGTTACTGAGCCTTTCTTAGTCTTTCATGATAATGAGGCACAAGAAAAGGCAACTTGGGCCCCTTCAAGGTCAGGTTTCTGTATAGCGGGACTAAAAGACTACAGACAATAAAAGCCAGGCCTCACCAAGGTCAGGCTGATTCCTAGGTAAGCATACAAACTGATAGTGAAACATCTGTTGCCTGGTGGTCAGACCCCCTCCAAAAAAGGCAGGGTAATCTGATTGGACCAAAAGGTTTATGAAGAATTTGTGCATACTGCCTTAACCAGGGTTGGGTGCTAACTTTCTCAACCCCACGATTGATATAAACTCCTAGAGAACACACATCCCTTGGCAACCCTCTCTTGGGATCCCTCCCCCTTGGGGAGTTCTGTTTTTTGTTTTTTTTTTTGTTTTTTTTTTTTTTTAAAGAGAAAGTGAGAGAGGAGAGAGAGAGAGAGAGAGAGAGAATTTTTAATATTTATTTTTTAGTTCTCCGCGGACACAACATCTTTGTTGGTATGTGGTGCTGAGGATCAAACCCAGGCGCACACATGCCAGGCGAGTACGCTACCACTTGAGCCACATCCCCAGCCCCTGTTTTTTTCTATTACTCTAATACATCCCATTTGCTCTCACCCTTGTGTCCATGGATTTCATTCTTCAGACAAACACACATTCCACAATCTCACCCCCAAACACCCTCCTATTTTTTCTCTACAGATCTGGTCATTCTGCTTCTTCCACTCCTATTTCACTATATCTACAACCCCCACCCCCCACCCCCACCCCCCAACACACATGGCCTGGCATTTCATATACTTGAGTTCCTCCTTTCCTAGAATGTGTTCCCCTCTCTATTTCCCTTAAGAATCACAATGCAGCCTGGAGTGCTATCACACTCCTGAAATCCCAGACTCAGGAGGCTGAGGCAGGAGAATTACAAGTTCTTCCAGCCTAGCCTCATTCACTTAAGGAAGCCCTAAGAAACTTGGTGAGACCCTCTCTCCAAATAAAAAATAAAAAGGGTTGGGGATGTGGCTCAGGTCTTAAACGCCCTCTGGGGTTTTAATCAAAACAAAACAAAACTGCAAGCAGGGTGTGGTGGCGACGCCTGTAATCTCAGGAATTTGGGAGGCTGAGGCAGGAGGATCAGGAGTTCAAAGCCAGCCTTGGCAATTTAGAAAGGCCCTAAGTGACTTAGCAAGACCCTGTCTTTAAATAAAATATAAAACAAAGACTTGGAATGTGGCTCAGTGGTTAAACGCCCCTGGGTTCAATCCCTGGTACCAAAAACAAACAAAACTGCAGCACATCTCTGAAGAACCACCTCAAGACCCCTTTCTAAACAGCATTAGGTTGCTTTGGATTTCTTCAAAGCTGTGTGTGCATATGTGCGTGTGTGTCTGGGATTGAATTTAGGGCTTAGAACATGTTGGACAAACTCTACTACTGAGCTGCGTCCCCAGTCCGTTTTATTTTTTAAGACAGGGTCTATGTTGCCCAGGTTGGTCTCGAACTTGGGATCCTCCCGAGCCACTGGTATTAAAGTGTGCATCGTGCTGGGCTAAAAGCTCCATTTTAATGGCACGGTAATTTTATTCAAGCAAGCCCTGTCTATCCACCAGGAGACCGCCGGCGTGCAGGAATGAATGAGATAACTTAGCCGCTACAGACGTCAGAAACCAGATGACCTGACCCAGTACACACAGAATTCTGGTTGGCGGGCTACGTGCCTCCCGGAAGACCCGCCCCTCTCGTCCAATCACCGGCAGTAAGGGCAATCTGAGGGTGACGCCAGGAACCAAGATGGCGCCCTGGGCTCGCTCTTAGCTCTTTGGACCGACCGCTAACTACCGGCAGGGCCACGCCCTTTCCAACACATTCAACTGGTTCTTCCAATCAGCAAAGAGGAAGGGCAATTCGAGGGCGACGCCAGGAGCCAAGATGGAGCCTGTACTAGCTCTCTACTTCAATCAGCCTGTACCTGTGGGGCCACGCCCCTGCCGAAAGACCAATCACCTAGAGGCGAGGCGTGGTGCACACTTACAATCTATGCGGCTGCCTTCAGGCACTTTCAGTTTAGGTAGATTTAGGAGTTTTCAGCCGATTTTTTTTTTTTTTTTTTAAATACAGGAAATGTCCTGGAAGCCCTCTCCCGGGCCCCTGTGCTGCTCCCTTGTTCTTGTTTGTTGCAAGAGCCGTGGATGCGCGGGGCAGGGTGGCCACCATTCTTCGGGTTCCTGCAGTGGGGCCTCCAGGGGTGGGTATCGCGCGGGGAGGGTAGCAGACGCCCAATTCCCCGCTTTGTCGCAGGTTCTCTGCTCTACGTAGCCAGGGTTGCCTACCTGTAACCAGATGGACCCTGGTATTTCTCTCAGCTTCCGCTTAGTAGAAGTGTTTCATGTTTTTCTCCGTCACTGGAGACGAAGACCTGTTTTTCTGAAGCCCCAAAGAGAAAGAAATCTAATCTCTTCAAGAAGTGAACCAAAAGCTACCCAGATTTAACTTTTTTATTAATTTTGTTTGCGGTGCTGAGGAATTGAACCCAGGGTCTTAGGCAAGCTAGGCAAGTACTACTACCACTTAGCTACACCCCAGCCTTTTTCAGATTTTATTTCTGAGAAAAGGTCTCAGAGTTGCCCAGACTGCTCAGCCTCTACACACACACACAGTTTTATGGTTTTGTTTGTTTGTTTGTTTGTTTGTTGGTACTTGGGAGTGAATCCAGGGGGGCTCAACCACTGAACCACATTTCCAGACCTTATTTTGTATTTCATTTAGAGACAGGGTCTCACTGATTTGCTTAGGGTCTCGCTAAATTGCTGAGGCTGGCTTTGAACTCGCGAGCCTCCTGCCTCAGCCTCCCAAGCTGCTCGGATTACAGGCATGCGCCACCATACCTGGCGCGCGCTCGCTCTCTCTCTCTCTCTCTCTCTCTCTCTCTCTCTCTCTCTCTCTCTATATATATATATATATATATATATATATATATTAGTTAAAACATATTAACTAAATATTTATGCCACAATGTGGCATTTTAATACATGTATATGGTGTGTAAAGGTCAGATAAGGGAGCTTTGTGTGTTGTGGCATGCTTCAGTTATTCTGGAGACTGAGGTAGGAGAATTGCAAGTTCCAGGCCAGCCTGGTCAATTTAGCTAGACCTTTTCTCAAAATAAAATTGAAATAAAGGGCTGGGGTTATAGCTCACCAGTGGAGTACTTGCCTAGCATGTACAGGGTTCAATCTCCAGTACCGCAATCAATCAAGCAATCATTCAGGATAATTGATATATCTGTTCCCTCAAACATTTATCATTTCTTTGTGTTGGGAACATTCTTCTCTACTAGTGATTTTAAAATACACCAATAATTGCCCCACTTATCCAACTGTATATTATAAAACATGAGAAATTATTCCTCCTATTCAGCCTCATCCCAGTATCCTGTTAACCATCTTCTCTCCATTCCCCTTTTTCTCCCATACCTTTTCCAGGCTTCCTTTTTTTGTGTGTTTTTATTTTTTGGTAGCAGGGATTGAACCCACTGAATCATAACCCAAGCCCCTTTTATTTATTTGTTTATTTATTTTTGTTTTGATACGGGTCTCACTAAATTGCTTAGGGCCTTGCTAAATTGCTGAGGTTAGTCTCCAACTTGCAATCCTCCTCCCTCAGCTTCCCAAGTCACTGGGATTACAGGCATGCTCCACCCTGCCCAGCCCCAGGATGACATTTTTTCTTCTTAAAACCTTTCTGAAGTGTAAGCCAACCCTAATGTGACCAAATAGACATGGTAGCCATGTGCATGACTATCTGACATGATAGGTGCATTCGTATTTAGCAGTGAAATAGTTTTGTGTTATATCTGTTTTCAATATTTGTAGTCCAGGA